AGTCTCATCCTCTGTCGCCCCCTTCTCTTGTCCTCAATCTTCCCCAGCATAGGGTCTTTTCCAGTGAGTCGGCTCTTCACATCAGGTGGCCAGAGTAGCGGAGCTTCAGCATCAGTCCTTCCAGTGAATGTTCAGGGCTGATTTCCTTTGGGATTGACTGGTTTTGATCTTCTTGCAGTGCAAGGACCTCTCGAGTCTTCTACAGTACCACAGTTCACAAGCATCAGTTCTTTCACATTCAGCCAACACTCACATCTGCACATGACTATTAGAAAAACCATAAATTGCACTGTACAGACCTTTGTAGGCAAAGTGATGTTTCTGCTTCGTGACTGCAGTCACAATATGCAGTGATTTTGGAGCCCAGGAAAATAAAATCTGTCACTGTTTTCACTTTCTTTCCATCGGTTTGCCATTAAGTGTTGGGACTGGATTGGTAGCATCTGTAATGAGCACAATTGTGTGGTAGTTTGAGCATTCTTTGACATTGCCCTTCTTTGGGATTGGGATGAAAACTGACCTTTTCCAGTCCTGTGGCCACTGCTGGGTTTTCCAAATATGCTGACATACTGAGTGCAGCACATTAACATTATCATCTTTTAGGATTTTGAATAGCTCAGTTGGAATTCTGTCACCTCCACTAGCTTTTTTCATAGTAATGCTTCCTAAAGCCCACTTTGACTTCACACTCCAGAATGTCCTAGATGAGTGGCCACATGGTGGTCATCTGGGTCATGAAGACCTCTTTAGTATAGTTCTTTGTATTATTGCCACCTCTTCTTAATCTCCTTTGCTTCTGTTAGTTCCTTACCTTTTCTGTCCTTTAGCATGTCCATCCTTGGATGAAATGTTCCCTGTGCTGTGTGCTTCGTTGCTCAGTTGTATCTGACTCTTCGTGACCCTGTGGACTGTAGCCCTCCTGGTGCCTCTATCCATGGGGATTCTCCAGGCAAGAATATTGGAGTGGGTTACCATCCCTTCCTCCAGGTAGTCTCACCAACCCAAGGATTGAACCCAGGTCTCCTGCATTGCAGGTGGATTCTTTACGGTCTGAGCCACCGGGGAAGACCTCTAAGAGCTGTAATAATGGTAATTATTGTTCTTAGGTTCTTATGTTCACCATAACTCAGGTTATATATATGTATAATGGTCAAGTGTTTGAACCCTGGATATCTCCAATTTAAAGGTCTGTTTACCAGTAAAGCATAGACTTAATACTGTTTCAGCTTACCTAGATTACCATGTAAAACATTATTTCTATGGCAAAATTTGTTATTGTTTAGGTACCTACTTTATCTTGGGGGGCTCCAAAATCACTGCAGATGGTGACTGCAGCCATGAAATTAAAAGATGCTTACTCCTTGGAAGAGAAGTTATGGCCAACCTAGACAGCCTATTAAAAAGTAGAGACATTACTTGGGCAACAAAGGTCCGTCTAGTCAAGGCTATGGTTTTTCCAGTAGTCATGTATGGATGTGAGAGTTGGTCTGTAAAGAAAGCTGAGCCAAGAAGAATTGATGCTTTTGAACTGTGGTGTTGGAGAAGACTCTTGAGAGTCCCTTGGACTGCAAGGAGATCCAACCAGTCCATCCTAAAGGAAATCAGTCCTGACTCTTCATTGGAAGGACTGATGCAGAAGCTGAAACTCCAATACTTTGGCCATCTGATGTGAAAAGCTGACTCATTGGAAAAGACCCTGATGCTGGGAAAGATTGAAGGTGGGAGAGAATGGGATGACAGAAGATGAGATGGTTGGATGGCATCACTGACTCAATGGACATGAGTTTGAATAAACTCTGGGAGTTGGTGGTGGACAGGGAGGCCTGGAGTGCTGTGATTCATGGGTTCACAGAGTCGGACATGACTGAGCAGAGCAACTGAACTGAACTGAAGTAACTGATGTACCTACTATGTGCCAGTCACTTTTTGGTGCTCCATCTGAGCAGTGAACAAGAGACAAGAATTATTGATAGAAGTTTACATTCTAGCAGAGATTTATTTCAACTTGCATTTGGAAGATCAAAAACGTCACCTGTCTTTATTACCTTCAAGTTGGCTTACTTAGGGTAGATGCCCATAGCTAGAGCAGCGGGGACTCTATTTACATTTATATCCGGTATCCTAGGTAGGATCCTAATAGAGAATGGGTAGTAACTATATTAGCATATTTTGAATAGGAATCAAAGGACAGCTTCCTTTTAAAGTGCAAGGGCAAGGGTCCTTATCTTTGCTTATCTGTTCCTTAATAAGAATTCTTCTGGGGGCGGGGAGAAAAAAAAAAAAGAATTCTCACTATGAGAATGTTTGAACAAACCATTTACTGCTGCCAAGGCAGCTCTGTTTTTAAAATGATTTCATGTGTTATTGCTAAACTATCCTGTACCTTAGGTGCTGTAAGCATTTCCATAGACACAGTATACAAAATTGTTAGTTGAATGTACTCTGGATCCAGACAGCCACAACCTGCCTTTAATCTAGCTGTATGATCTTGGTCAAGTGTGTGCGTGCGTGCTTGCATGTAGTTACATCAGTCATGTCTGACTCTTTGTGACCCCACGGACTGTAGCCCACCAGGTACCTCTGTCCATGAGATTCTCTAGGCAAGAATACTAGAGTGGATATATATACCACATCTTCTTTATCCGTTCCTCTGTCCATGGGACCACAAAGAGTAGGACCTGACTGATGTGACTTTGCATGCATGCACGCACTTGCCCAAGATCACGAAGCTAACCCCTTATCAGTCACATCATTTGCAAGTATTTTCTGCCAATCTGTGTGTTGTCTTTTTGTTTTGTTTATTGTTTCCTTTGCTGTGCAAAAGCTTTTCAGTTTGAGTAGGTCCTATTTGTTTATTTTGCTTTTATTTCCATTATTCTGGAAGATGGATTAAAAAAGATTTTGCTGTAATTTATTTCGGAGAGTCTTCTGCCTATGTTTTCCTCTAATAGTTTTATAGTGCCCAACTAACGTTTAGGTCTTTTAATCTATTTTGAGCTTATTTTTGTGTATGGAGTTAGGAATGTTTTAATTTCATTCTTTTTACATGTGGCTGTCCCGTTTTCTCAGCACCATTTGTTGAGGAAACTGTCTTTCCCACATTTGTGTAGTCTTGCCTCCTTTGTCATAGATTAGTTGGTTGTTTTGGTGCATGGGCTTATTTCTGGGTGTTCTGTCCTGTTCCATTGACCCATATTTCTGTTTTTGTGCCAGTACCATACTGTTTTGATGGTTGTAGCTTTGTAGTGTAGTCTGAAGTCAGGGAGCCTGATTGCTCCAGCTCTGTTTTCCTTTTCAAGATTGCTTTGACTATTCAGGGTCTTCTTTGTCTCCATACAGATTTTGAGATTTTTTGTTGTAGTTCTGAAGAAGATGTCGTGTGTACACACACACACACACACACACACACACAGAGGAATATTACTCAGCTCTTAAAAAGAATGAAATAAGGCCATTTGCAGCAACACGGATGGACCTAGAGAGTGTCATACTGAGTGAAGTAAGACAGAGAAGAGGAAATATCATATGACATCCTTTATATGTGGAGTCTAAAAAGAAATTATACAAATGAACTTACTTACAAAACAGACTCATGGACTTAGAAAACAAACTCATGGTTGCTGGGGGGAGGACATAGTTAAGGACTTTGGAAAGGTAACATACACACTGCTATATTTAAAATGGATAACCAGCAAAAAGCTATGGTATAACACATGGAACTCTGCTCAATGTTATATGCCAGCCTGGATAGGAGGGAGAATGGATACATGTGTATGTATGGCTGAGTCCCTTCACTGTTCATCTTAAACTATCACAACATTGTTTATTTGTAATAATGCTATAATTAATTGGGGTTAACTGCTATACACCAATACAAAATGTTTTTGGTGTTAAAAAAAACAAAAATAAAACTAGAATGGATTCCCATGCCCTCTTCCAGGGAATCTTCCCCACCCAGAGATCAAACCCTTGTCTCTTATGTCTCCTGCATTGGCAGGCGGGTTCTTTACCACTAGCACCACCTGAGATGTCTGAACCTGTCTGTGCCACAGTTTTTTTAAATCTGGAAAGTAGTGATAATAGCTCGCTGATGTAAGGATGAAATGAAATAATTGCTAATGTTTAGCACTTGGCAAGTACTAAATGACAGCTGTTATTATTTTCCATGCTTGACATGTAATTTACGTAAAAGTTGCCTTTCTGGATTTTTTGGCCAAACAACTTATTTTGTTGGGTGGGTTTATACTTTCCAGGAGAACAATTTGATATAACAGAAATCTGGATTCTAGCTATGGATCATCCACTGATCTTGATTTGATTAATTATTAATGGGGGTTCAGATAAAATATTTAGTGTTTTCATATAAAATTTAAATATTTTAAAAGAGGTGAGCATGTTGAATCTTTTGTTGATTTTGAGTACTCAACAAAGACCTGTTTTTTGTTTCATCATAGTGTGAAATGGTGATCCCAGATGTTCAGTTTTTGTACCAAAGCTTACCAATGACTGTTACAAAAACTTTTTGTAATTTTCAAAGTTTAAATTAGTGGATGATTTACAGATGATTCCTGTGATGAGTGTTTAATTCTAAATATAAGCTACTTGACAATCACACCCAATAAAAAGTTCAGTGCTTTTCATATCACCAAAACCCTATTTCATAAAATTATTGTAATAACCTCCTAATGAATTTGAGTTAGAGAAACTGGAAATACATTCTTTTCCTAATTACAATGTAGTATGTATTTGTGCATTTTTATTAATTTTAAAATGTTATCAACTTCGCTTAGATTTGCTTTGTTTTTATGTCCTATTTTCTGAAAGACTTCAGATTTTCATTAGTTTTTCACTTCCTTCCAAAAGGGACTTTGTAGAGAAATATTGTAGAATCAAAATGAATGTTGTAGTCAAATTTTATTGGAGTTCAGGTCCTGTAAAGATGGTTGTGTTTAAATTCCACAAAGTTATTTGTTGTTTTTCCTGAACTTTTCCTTTTGCAGCAAAGTTCTGTTTTCATTAACTACACACTATTTTAAAGTAGAAGATGGTGGTGAAAGATCAGTCTGTGTTACCTTTGGATTTTTTTTCTTTGTGAAAGCAATGGCTGTCTTGATTGTAACAGAAAACTATCTGGAATTCGGACTTGAAACAGGTAATAATTTAATATCTTATAGGTTCTTAAAATTAGGTTTATATTTTGAAATGTTCTAAATAATTAACATTTATTATTCTTAAGATCTTTTTTTTTTAGCTAAGTTTTTCCTATCTTTTTCCAAAAATGCTCTCCCTTCCTCATTTTTTCCTTAAACTTAAATAAGTATTTCTAATGCTAATGTTTACTCACATAGATAAAGATGCAGATTTTAATGCAAATTATATGGAATGTACAGATATCAAAGGGATGTTTTCAAAGGCTATTTCTCCTAATAACTAAATTTTATTGCATTATGACATACTAATTAGCACATGAAAGAGCTAGTCTTGTCACTTCAGAATTTAAGATACTCTAGCATTTTATTTCCAAAGAAAGATTCTGTATTTTACTCCTATGATAAGAGTAAATTTTTTTCCCCCTACAGGGTTTACAAATTTTTCAGACAGTGCGATGCAGTTTCTTGAAAAGCAAGGTTTAGAATCTCAGTAAGTTTTTTTTAAATTAAGTATTATTCAAGTTAAATTTTTCCATTTTTAGTAAAATACCACTTACTATAAGTAGTTCTTTGTTTTTAATCAGTGAAAAGTTATTTTTTAAGTAGGACTGTCTCTTTTAGCAATATCCTTACTCATATTTTTTTACATTTGTATAAACTTAGTATCTTTTATAGAATTCTGATTTGAATTTGCTGTTATTTAACTTAATTCCTCTTCCCTCAGACAGTAAATGAAATTCATGAGTCACGTTATTTTTTGTTGAATATGTAGTTAAAATTGTTAAAACTGTTGCTTAAGAGATAGCTGATTAAGTTCATAATTCACCAAATCCCTTATAGATAGTGGTAGAATAAGAGCTGTCTTTCTGTAAGAGTTTACTTTGTATTACTTGTATTGTGATTTATAAAGTAATTAATTAGAAGAAAAGAAACTTCTAGAAGGTTCACTTCAAAAACTTACCAGCTTTTTAAAAAATTTTAATTTTAGGGGTCCTGTTTCAAAACTTACTTTCAAATTTTTCCTGGCTATTTTCTGTTCACTCATTGGGGCTTTTTTGACATTTCCTGGATTACGGCTGGCTCAAATGCATCTGGATGCTCTGAATTTGGCAACAGAAAAAATTACACAGTAAGCGGAAAATGTACATAAGCACATGCAGATAAATATATGTTTTCCATCTTAATGAAGGTATATTATTGTAATGAAATCATAAATTATTGTATTGAAAATTAATAACCATTTGATGTCACACTGCTTCCTCTTTCTACTATAAGCGAGTTTCTTCCATTCTTTTCTAAACTTTAAGTCCTGTATAAGAAAAAACACTAATTATTACATTTCTTTTTTTCCTGTTAAAATGGAAATATCAATATTTATGTTCTTTTGAACTCAGAGTTCAATGTTTATGATATCATAATCTCTACCACTAATCTGAGGTCAGATCTATGGGAATTTCTTTAAATTAGAATTTTCGAGCTATAAATACTTATTTAAATTTTATATAAATGATTTGATTTAATTTTTTATTTAAAGCATTTTATTTTTAAATGTTTTGAAATTTGTGTACATAAGAAATGTTTGTTTTCCTTATATTACTGACTTGTATGTAAGCTTATTTTACTTTGGGATTGCTAATACTGTATAGTGTTAAATTATAGTTTACTATTTTAGTTTTCAAATAGAGAAATTGTATTTGAATCTCTACATGTAAGTCAGAGCCCACTTACTATATTCTTTGTGATTATCAGAGATTCTTTTCTTGGTGTAGACACCTTGGCAGAGGAACAGATTTTTATCTTCTTCATTTCTTATCCAGATCCAAGTTTCCAAGTCCTCTTTTTGTTTTGCAGTAGAAGCACAAGTTGAGCATATTCCATTTTGATATATGTATTTATAGTCATTAAGTTTCTCTGAATAGTCATATTTCCTAACATTTCTGCTCTTTAAAAACCTACATTTAATGATGCTGATTCTCTGTCTTTTCACGTTCTTCTCTCTCCTACCTCTGTCATTTTCCTTTATTTTAATTTTGAAAATATTTCTGTGTGTTTCCTCTCCTCCCTTTTTTCCTGCATGTGCTTTGTGTGTGTTTACTTATTCTCACCTCCTTCATTCCTCTCTTTTCCGCTCCTTTTGCTCAGCATGCTCTTGGCTACATCCTGCTTTTCTCCCTCCAGCCGTCTCTCTAATGGCTTCTTTTAAAACAAAACCTGGCTCCCCCTCCTCTCGACACACGCACACTTCAGTCCACTAACCCCAGTGTTATGATTTAAATAAGCGGAAAGGGCGGGTGGAGGGGAGCCCTTCGCCAGCTACTGAAACCGCTGTGGGCCGCTCCTTGACACTAGAGTGTTCCCTAGCAACACTGCATACCTAATGCTGCTGCTTTCTTCCCCGCACCCGATGGTTTACCCAGGCTGTGGGCTGAAAGAGTCACTTTATGAAAACGTTTAAAGCGTTCAGTGGTAGTTTGGGATTGGAGACACTGAGGGTTGGTTGCGGGGGGGCACATTTTCTTTTCCTTCTCAGAAAAATGTAGCTTCTTACGATTTTCCCCTTTGGGAATCTGGAGTTTTATTTTCCGTGTGTTACAAACGGCCCCCTCACACATACACACACACGTTGTGTTGTAGCACTCTGCCCAGATCCAGGGTGTGGCAAGCTAGTTTTGTAGCGAGAGCCGCAGAGTGGCACAAAGAGCTGCCTTCTCCTCACCCCCATGGCCAGGCAGTGGTACTTGCTTTAGGGCCAGAGCTTAGACCCAGAGTTCCGCCTCTCCCTGGTCAGGTAGGTCTTCATGGTTTCCTGATCCAGCCGTTTGCTCACAGAAATCACTGTCACGTGCATTGTAGTGGTATTTTAAAGTGTGTGTGTATTTTAAATCCTCTAGTTTAGTCTCTCTTCCTTGCATGGTTTGTAATGAATACAGTACATGGTAATAAAATAGTCTGAAGAACGTCTTTCTGAAACAAGGACAGTCTTTATCAGTCATCTGTCTCCGTAGGGTACAGACTTGGGGCAACAGTTAGCAATGACATTACATCTCATACCTGAAACCATTTGCTGTACTGCGTATATTATAGCCTTGTAGGAGTAATGTGAATTTCTCCTGGTTTGTATAGGATAGGGAAATTCATTTCAGATACGTTCATAATTCTTCAAGAAGAAATAAAAATGTGAATCATTTATGATTTTAACAATCAATTAAAACATTTTACATGATCATTACATGTTGAAAGGTTCCTCATTTATAAGTTGGTGCAGTGGCTTCCACCTGCCCTATCCCGTCTGGTATTTTGGACCTTGTAATAGGTCTCTTACTTGTAAGTAATCAGAAGCCACTTTATGTCTGCTGGACTGAAAAATATCAAAAGATGACTCCTATCCTGAAAATTCATTGGATTCATTGATTGTTTAGAGAATCTTTTAAGTACCAGTATATTAAATCAGGGATACAGTAGGAGATTGTTAAACAACACTAGAATGGGAGTGAACAGATTTAGATTTTAGTGCTTGACCTCTTTCTTACCTGTAATATTACCATGTGCAAATCATTTAACTTTCCTGAATCTAAATATTCTCATCTGAAACATTAAAATAATGAGGTGTTTTTATAAGGGCTCAAATCAGTGTTGAGTGATAAGGATTAATATAAAATAATGGTGGCAACAATACCTTAATATAGAATACTGAAAATAAGTTCCTACCTTCATTTTTTAAATCCCAAGTTTCTGTAGTTTATTAGTGTATTTTGCTTCTGGATTTTTATGTTTATTTCTTACATACTTTCAGAACATTACTTCATATCAACTTCTTGGCACCTCTGTTTATGGTTCTGCTCTGGGTAAAACCCATCACCAAAGACTACATTATGAACCCACCATTGGGTAAAGAAAGTGTTCCTTTGTAAGTATGGGTATTTGGGGGCTAATTTTTATTTTATTATGTAATCAAAACTTTTCTAAAATGTTTTTTACTATGTTCATGTTTTTAATTATAATATTAAGACTGTATTTTTAAAACATTAATAGAAATATTTTAAAATGTATCATAAAATGGAAATTACAGGTCATCATTTAAACTTTTGGTGATCTTCAATAATGGTTGTGAATTCTTATTACTCTGCACTTATACTATCTTGTACAGTTGTAAGTTTTTGTGCTTTTTCACTTGATGTCCAGTTGATATATGAGAGTTTTTTTTTGATAGCGCTTGTTTTTAAGACACTTTGTACATTTCTGTTATTTTTCCTTAATTGTGAAAATTATAGAGGAAAAATTTTATAAATAGAAGTTCATGTATTCAGCCCCTTAAGAGTTATTAATATTTTCCACATTCACTGTTTTTTGTTTTATTTTTTTATAAAGTATCTTTTCAAGTAAATCAGAAGCATAACATTTTTACCCCTAAGAACTTCAGTATGCCTCTCTAAAAAATAAAGATATTCTTCTACATGACAGTGTTGTCATACCTATCAAAATTAAAAATAAAGCTTTAACATTGTTATCTAATAGTAGGTCCTATTCCCCAATTAGACAACTGTACTTTAACAGAAGAAGGAAACTAACAGTTTGTTAAAAGGCGTTACTAACTGTACTTGATATGTTAACCCATTAGCCTTATGGAACTATATTAGAGTAATAAAGATTCAGGCAGAACTGGTTCAAACCCCGGTTCTGATCCTCACTAAAACTGTCACTTGAGGGAGATTATTTAACTTCACTGACCCTCTGTTTCCCCATCTGGAAAATGAAGATAATAGTATCTACCTCACAAGGTTATCATTGGAATTAAATGAAAGAATACATGTAATGCAACTGGCTAGAAGTAAGTGCTTAATAAATGTTCCTTTCACTGCTTTGCCTTATCAAAATTAAAATAGAAAAACTTGACTAGTCATTGATTCCACAGTATGCATTTTACATTATGTATTTCTTTTAGATCCTGGTACAGATTTGTGTTGGAGTAAGTGTAGAATCAGTGCTGACCATGATTTTTTTTTTTAACACTTAACCTTATTGAACTAAGAAAGTATACTTTGAAGTCATAACATTTTTTCCCCACATAAGTAAGCTTTAATGGTAGTTTCAACTTGACAGGTTCACTCTGAGTATTTAAAAGTTAATCCTAAGGATTGTAGGGTTCTAGACTAAGGTAGAGAATCTGCTTGCAGTGCAATGCGGATGACCCAGGTTTGATCCCTTGGTCAGGAAAATCCCTTGGAGAAGGGAATGGCAACCCACTCCAGTATTCTGCTTGGTAAATGATGGAAACAAAATCATAGTCTTATCTGTGCTCCATTTTATCCCTTTTTTATTTGTTAGATCATTATATTAAGTGATTAGACAGCAGTGGTTTTTAATTTTTGTTTAAAACCCAAAGCGCATGTGGTAGATTGAGAAAGAATGGCTGCCCATTAACCCAGGTCCTTTTGTCTTTCACATGGAGTAAATGGTTGGTCAAAGGCCTTTATTTGTAGTGAGAAGCAAAAATGGTTAGAATGTAGTTTCAACCCAGAAATGTATTTAAACTCATCCATCCATGTGTTCTGCTTGGGCATCAAAAAGTGAAATGCAGGCAGAGTCCATGTGTGCACCAAGAGAGAACATGTACAGAGAAACTTAGAATGGCTTCAAAAATTTGGAGAAATTTCTTCTGCCTTTTCTTTACCTGCATATTTTGCCCCAGCTCATACTCTTTCCTGAGATACACCATCATATCAATTTAACCAAATCCTTATGATGTTAAGTAAGCAGTCTGAATTAGAGGTACTAATTAGATAGCTATTAGTAGGACTGCTACCTAAATCCTGAAATCCTCGTAAACAGGGCAGATATTTTTTGATTCACTGCCTCGTACCGTTCCCTTCATTTCTATTACCTGTCATCCTCAAAGTGTATATACCAGCTGTCTTCAGAACTCTGCCGGCCAAGCCCCCTGGTTGCCCCACACCAGGGAGCACAGTGTTGTCTGCAGGCCCTGGAAGGGTTCAAGGCTGCGGCTGGTCCTAAATCTCTGTGTACTCCCATTCTCACATGACTGATGCTTTAATCTTACTGTTCATTATAATGCAAGTGTATTGATAAAAGTTTGCCTCTATGCTTGCTAACCAACCTGCATTTCTCATGGCCTTGTAAAAAGGAAACCAAAAAACAGCATGCATAATAGAGCCTTTGTTCCATCCCTCTATCACCTCCACTTCATAAATAGTTCAACCAGAACTGTGACTGCTCCCATCTTCTCCTCCTTTCCTGTTTCTGTGCTGGCGTTCAGCTTTACTTCCACAGGCAGCTAGTTCTGTATTGTAGTTTTAGGCCCTTTCCTCGGTGCTTACACTGGACAGAAGGGGGTGATAATAGAGCCTATTTTGGAACAAAGTGTTGGTTTTACATCTTTTCCCACTCATTCTTCTTTATAGCCATCCAGTCTACCCTCATAGTCTTTAAGAATTTGGGGGAGACCCTTGTAAGTTCCACATCCTGTCTGGCAGATCACTAGACACATTTCAACAGTCATATATTTAACTACGTGTTATGTACTAGAAATTTGAATAGAGTCAGGCACATGTAAGCATTATCTTGAAATTACAATGTTATCTTTTATCAAAGCAGAAACCATGGTCTTTTATAAATGTTAAACCCCTAAAGGACATCAGAATTTACCTCTTCTTTCCAAAGTCCTTTAAAGAACATTTGATTTTATTTTATTATATCAGAATTCTTGATCCCAGTCGGTAATTGAGCAGAGTTGAAAGATCCTATTCAGGTGTTTATGTGATCAAACAAAACTGTAGCTAGAAACAGATAGGCTGTTCACTTGATAGTTCATGGGCAAGCTCCTGGGGTTTCCTTCCTTCTTTCTTGTAGTCTCCCGTTTAAGAACTCCCACTTCCCTTTTTGCTTAGTCATTCCCCTACCCCCGCTCCGGGAGGATGGATAGAGAAAGGAATCCCAAGTATTGCTCTCCTTTTTTTCTTTTAGACTTATCTGGTACTTCTTTGTTTCTTATTCTGGTACTTCATGCATTTGTTATGCAAGTGAAAGTATCCTGTAAGTCTCTGATAGAATGGGACACTTACCATGTCTCCAGTCTAGATTTCCTTGTATTAAATATCTTATCCAATGAACATTAACACATAAAACTAGCATGCTAGCATTTTTTGGTCTTTGAGAGCACCATATCAACTTTTTGATCTGTAGAATGACAGAAGCTACCTTCGATACTCTGCGACTCTGGTTAATAATCCTGCTATGTGCTTTGCGGTTGGCCATGATGCGTAGTCACCTGCAAGCTTACTTAAACTTAGCCCAGAAATGTGTGGATCAAATGAAGAAAGAAGCCGGGCGAATAAGCACAGTTGAGCTTCAGAAAATGGTAAGTTTTACACTGTTGTCAAAATGAAAAATAGCAAATACTGATGGCGCTAGCGGTAAAGAACCCACCTGCCAATGCAGGAGATCCGGGTTCAAACCTGAGTCAGGACGATCCCCTGGAGGAGGGCATGGCAACCCACTCCAGTGTTCTTTCCTGGAGAACCCCATGGACAGAGGAGCCTGGCGGGCTGCAGTTACGGGGTTGCAAAGGATCCGACATGACTGAAGCAACTAGTACCACATGCACAAAATTAAAAGTGTTTGATTTCCTTCAGTAGTAGTTCATTCCATGATATTCTTATTATGAACAGATAGAATAATCTTAAACTGACAGATGTCAGAGACATTAATCTGATTTTGGTGTTAGGTGAAGAAAGGGTCTCAGTTCCCCTTCCTGCCTTAAGTAAGTATCATACAGTTTGGGTTACAAAGCTGTTGGTATATCTCCGTTTGCTAAATGGGAGTCCCCTAACTGATCTGAAATCACTGATCACAGTATATTGTATAGCTTTTGTGACTTAAAGAATAGGGAATACTAGTTTTAGTGACTAAATGTATTCCTTTTAACATTAATCCAAGTACTTGAACGTGGAACATAAATTTTAACTTAATGGAGATTCCAGAGAAGGAAGGTGCTAGGAATCCATCCACTATTGTAATGGACTAGACCCACAACCCGATCAAGTCTTTTTAAAGAAACGTGGTGTCAGATCCTCTTGTTTTTTACTCTTGAATTTCATCTTGAATCTATCAAGATTCAAATAACTTTTTATGTTTTACCTTTCATGTATTTTCATACTTTGAATTTTACTTCAGTCTAATGTAAATAGGGATTAATAATTTTATTTATGGGGGTTTATTTATGACTTATTGTTATTTACTTTGATATTTTAGGTGTCTTGTCTTCAGAGATTTTAGCATTTTGTTTTATATTTGAAATAAGTGAATATATGCCATTTGAATTTCAGTGATTTTGTTTCTCCAATTTGTATTAATCACTTAACTATTTTTAAGGGATTTAATGCTTTTTTCGTATTTTAAAGAACCTTCAAACTGAGCCTTTCTGAAGTCAGTCTGGGGGCATTTATAATGAAGTACAAATTTATTTCCAGTTAGCTTTCTTCCCATGGAAGGATTATTTATCTTTTAAGTGATTCAGTGTGATGATTCAGTTTGATATGAAAGTTTAACTCGTTCATAACACGTCAGCTGTGTTAGAAACTTATGAATGCTGTCGTTTCAGGTCGCTCGAGTCTTCTATTACCTCTGCGTCATCGCGCTGCAGTATGTGGCTCCCCTGGTCATGCTGCTTCATACAACCCTGCTTTTGAAAACTCTAGGTAGGCATATCCTGGCAACTGGGAAGCTCACTGCTCTACTTTCTACCTGTAATTAATCATGTTTTCTGTTACCTACAAAGAAATATGCCTCTTAAAATTGATTCTCTCTTTAGAAGTTTTGTGAGGAAACTTGGGAGCCTTTCAGCTCTAGAAGTTGATTCATTGATTTATCTTCTTGATTTTGAAAACTCAGACCCATATGGTTTTATAAAGTTAAAAGAATTGTTTGCTAAAGGTTAATTCCGAGTAACTTGAGTGAGCACTTTTTAATCTTATTATTTTGTATTTTAAGATTGTGTTATTGCATAACATTTAAATTATTATGAGATACTTTTAAATTTATGAATTGTAGGATCTTTTGGTGAGTTCTACTTCAGATAACTTAACGTGGATAGAATAAAGATTTCTCCACGGCAGAACAAAGTTCCTCTATAAGTCTGTTCACTAAGCAGTCAAGCCCCTCTGTGGTATTACTCAAGAATTATCTATTACCAAGTTGATTATTTCTTTGCTTAGATCTGGCGGTCTGCCATTGTGGGGGTTTTAGAAGCCCAGAAAAATTAAAAGCATTGTTGGGTGGACTTACAGATACTATAGAGCTGATGATAGATGTAAATAATCTTTCAGGAATCTCTGGAACATAAGAGTAGCTCAGTGGTAAATTAATGACTCATAACCTATCAGCATAGGAAAGTATATGATGAAAAAATTTCTGGAAGCTATTAATAGTCTCTCACATTGGCATCATAGATCGTTTCTGAGAAAGAAATTACTCTGATATTCTAGAGGTGGAAAAGATTCTAAGAAGTTACAGAATCTGTTCTGTCACTCCAGTAGAGGTAGTTGATTCATGGATTATACAGGGAAGAGAATGTTTTTGTTATTTTACCAGATTTTGATGCAGTTAATTAAAAGTAAATTAGTTTTTGGCTTTTATGTGTAGTTCTACTGATAAGGTTAGATTATAGTCTGATCAAGTTAAGTGAATTTTCCCTAAGTGTGTAGAAAGCTTATTATTTTATTTTTAACATAAAATAATTTGTTGTGCCACTAGATTTCTTGTTCTTACTTTGAAATATAATATAAGTTAAGGAATTTTTTTTTAACAAGAAGCTTTGGAATTACTTACTCTTCAAATTTTATTTGTATCTTTAATTTTCTAGGTAATCATTCCTGGGGGATTTATCCAGAATATGTGTCTGCCTTGCCAGTGGATAATAGTCTACCCTCCAATTCTGTTTACTCTGAATTACCATCTGCTGATGGGAAGATGAAGGTAACTGTCACACAGATAACAGTGGCGCTGAGCAGCTTAAAAACCATTTTCACGCCTCTGCTTTTCCGAGGCCTTCTCTCTTTCCTGGCCTGGTGGATCGCTGCTTGTCTCTTCTCTACGAGCCTTTTTGGGCTCTTCTACCACCAGTATCTCACGGTGGCATGAGTCTCAGTCAACAAACCGGACATCAGAGTCGCACTTCGAATTCAAGTGTCGTGCCCTTGAAGGGCCGACGAAAACCAGAAGAAAGCAAATACAAAGGAAAGAAACCATATCAGAATGTCTTGTTTTAAATACTTCCTCTGTATTCTCAGGGTGGTTTAATGGTATTAATATTTTAAATTATAGAATAGATTGTTAACTGCTATACTATGGTATTGAAATTTTAACTCCTTGCATTAAGGGATGTGAGAGGCTATCTGCAGGTATAATACTTCCGATGACCTTGGTTTACAGAAACCTCCATCAGTCTTTGAAACTTCTCATATGACTCCAGTTATTGATTGGTTCTGTTAATGGTATTAAGGTACTGTCAATATTCGTAGTAGCTGCCTATAGAACAATCTTCAAACTGAGCCATGCTTTAGGGGAGGGAAGGGAGTTAAAGTCACTTCTGTTGGTAATATACCAGTCAAACAGCAACAACGGCAAAATCCAACAGAAAGGAAGAAATAGCTACTGTATATTACAGTAAAGAAAGCTGCATAGAAATTTTAAATTTAATGGAGATGTACATGCTTGATATTTACAAGTACTGCTGCTTGAGAGTAGCAAGAGTATTGCTTTAAAATGCATTCTATCCAACTTGAGGGATCTTTTAAATGATTGGCTACATGAACATTTGCAGTCTTGCCATTAGGTTTGGACCTCCCATATTTTATTTTATTCTATGATCCTAAGTATAGTTCTTTTTAATAGTCTAAAAGTATTTATCAATGTTGATCAGACTTTTAAAAAATTACTTTGTAATCCTGCTGACTACCTGTATGTATTGTACATATATATATTATATATTAAATATATAATATATTGAGATTATAAAAGATGAAAATATTGGATTCTTATAATATTTTAAGTTGCTGAATGTATGTTAAAATGTGATTGAATGAGATGTGTTTATATCTAGAAATTTTCTTCTTCCTGGAATGAGATTAAAATACATTTTGAAAATTCATCCGAGTAAGCAGTTTATTTGTGTTGCCTGTGTGTAAGAGTCTAGAGAAGGAAATGGTCTTGCCTGGACAATGTCCATAGAGTCACAAAGAGTTGGACACAACTGAAGCAACTTAGGACACACACGTGTGTGAGAGTACTTCTGATTTTATAAATACTTAGGTAATTGCTCCCCAATTAAAATTCTTTTCCTGTCATTAAAAAAAAATTAGAACCTTTTCCACTCTAGACAAAACTGGTATCATTAAAACCTATGTTATATAGGACTTGTTTTAATTTTGTAGAGATTTTATTTGTAATGTTTTTACTTTAAAGGACAGAAATTGAAGTAATTTGAGAAATTTTTAAAAATGGGGAAAAAAGTAAATTTTTTGAATGCTTTTTTACATAGGGAATGAATATAGGAGATAAACAGGTTCCTCCCCCCCACCACCACCAAATGTATAGAATTTATTGATAAATATTCTTGCATTTAACTGCCTTGTGAGGCTGTGTATTATGCTTCAGTGCTATTGTCACTACTGAAAGCAGTTTTGAGACTCTTCCTTCTTTTGGCATTATTTTCAAGCCTTGTGGTTCATATTCATTTGAATAATCTCAGTATAGCAAATTCCTATCTTTTGGTGTAGATTAAATATTTTGAAAATAGCTGATATTTTGAATAAGACTGAGTAATAAAATAAGTGCTTAAGTTGGATAAAGGTCTTTGAAGAATTGTGAGTATAGCCTAATGATAGTTCATGTGTGTTTCCAAAAGAAGCATACCAAAATATATCTTGAGATATCACCATTACTAAAATAAGTATCTTATAACAAGATTACAGTGAAGTATGACATTTATTTTGTATATGAAAGTTCTCACATGTTGGACTTGGGGAAAAAAATCTCTCATTGTTTATAACCATTCTTATTTAAAAAGATATATTATGAAAGTTACAATTAAAGTTATTTTGATTTTCAAAGATTGTATAGTGGAGTTATGTGGAGGGAAAGGAATAGAATTCATTATTAGATGGACTAGCATCTGTTTCTGAAATACTATTGATTTCACTCTTTTTAAACTGGAATTCTCCCTAAGTATACTATGAATTTATAGAAGCCACTGGTTAATTGAAGTGGTGGACTTAGTTTTTTTAGCCTTTTAAAGCAAATTTTGAGAGAAAGATGATTATAACTACTAACTGGTCAATTTAAGCATGTTGTCTTTGTTGAAAGGATTATATTAAATGCTGAAGGGTTTATACTTTATGTAAACTGAGTAGTATTTTTAAGTCAAGATATAATTCATATAAAGTTGTAGTATAACAATGGTTTTTTGATACATTTATATGTTGCAAAGTGACTGCAAGTAATATTTTTGAATATCCCAAATTAGGTCAATAGAAGTGCTTTTTACATTGGACTCTAATCAGTATAAATGCTTCAGAAATCAGTTATTTTTACTTTATATTTTTTCCAGATTAACTGGGAACCCATAAAATATTGCTTCCTATGATCTGTACAATGTTACTTGACAATTTGTTGGTTCCTGCTCCCCAGCCCCTGCCCACTGCACTGTGAAAATTAGAGCTCTATTCTACTCCCATTGATTTGTCCAAAATGAAAAGCAAATAATTCTATCTTAGTATTATATTTATTTTGATTATCTTTGGTATTTTCCCCAGAATTTCAGTTGTTACTCATAAATGACCAATGTATCCTTGCAGTGTGGGCTCATTGTCTTATTGTTTCTGATATAAATATCATTGGTAAAACAGTGACATTTCTTCTTAAGTTATGATTCAGAAGAGATATTCATCTGTTAGTAGAATTGATAGGTCCAGGAAGCAATAAGTAGAATTCATTATGAAGTCTGTAATGGGAACTTAACTGGGTAGATTTTATTCTTTCAAATGAAAGATTAAATTCTCAGTATTGCAAAGCTTGGGGTCTCAACATTCTCTGAATTCATACACACTTTCTGAGCTATCTTATAATTGAAAATGCTCTATCATGGTATATGGCTATTCAGCAAAATAAAACTAAGTGACTTTTGAATGTCGATCATCCTGTGTCTTCACAGAGCTTTAGGTGGCTTAAAGAATCAGATTTAAACACACTGTCCTAGAGCTTGAACCCAGTGTCTCAAATAGTCCTACATGCTCATCATCTAATTCCCATTTGTCTCATTATGTCTGTACTCTGAGTTTATAGCTGAGCTGATTATATGCCATGAAAACTCCAACATGGACATTAAGCATTAAGGATGATCAAAGAGCTGATGTCAACCTTTCCCTTCTTTTTTTTTTTTAAATCTTTAATGATTCAGAGAGTTTGTATTTTTTCTATTCTGTTGCTCTGTTTTTTCTTTCTTTTAAAACTCCCTGTATGTAGTTATTCCTCTCCTTTCTCCCATTTGGCGGAAGGCTACCCATTTTATTAAATGAAGTAGCACGATTTTGTAGCGAGAATGTTGATCTTAGAATCAGGAAGCATTTCTTCACATCCCATTTTTACCTGTGATTAGTGTTTTGTTTTTTTCACTTATTAGGCATTCAATCCATACTAATGAAATAAAACTGGATTATCATCACTGTTGACCTCAGAGGGGTATGTGTGTGTTAGTCTCTCAGTCTTGTCCTACTTTTTCCGACCCTGTGGACTGTAGCCCGCCAGGCTTCTCAGTCTATGGAATTCTCCAGGCAAGAAAGCCATGTCCTTCTCCAGGGGATCGAACTCGGGTCTCCTCCATTGCAGACAGATTCTTTGTTGTCTGAACCACCGGGGAGAACCTCAGGTTAATCATGTTTAATAAAGTAAATAGTTTACATTAAATATATAACTGTGTATTTCCAAATCTGATATTGACTTCTGTTTATGTTAGCATGAGAAAAATGAATTAACTACTTTTGGCTTCAGGAATGGTTACACATCATATTAGTTAGAAGATATTCATTTACTGTTATTTGAGAATGACTTTACAAAGAATATTTTCTCCAGGAGTATTTTGGTTTGTACTCATTTAATTCTGTGTTCAATAAATATATATATTCAGTTCAGTTCAGTTGCTCAGTTGTGTCCAACTCTTTGCGACCCCATGAACTGCAGCACACCAGGCCCCCCTGTCTCACCAACTCCTGCAGTCTACCCAAACTCATGTCCATTGAGTTGGTGATACCATCTAACCATCTCATCCTCTGTCGTCCCCTTCTCCTGCCTTCAATCTTTCCCAACATCAGGGTCTTTTCCAGTGAGTCAGCTCTTCGCATCAGGTGGTCAAAGTATTGGAGTTTCAGCTTCAGCATCAGTCCTTCCAATGAACACCCAGGACTAATCTCCTTTAGGATGGACTGGTTGGATCTCCTTGCAGTCCAAGGGAGTCTCAAGAGTCTTCTCCAACACCACAGTTCAAACGCATTAATTTTTCGGTGCTCAGCTTTTTTGACAGTCCAACTCTCACATCCATACATGACCACTGGAAAAACCATAGCCTTGACTAGACGGACCTTTGTTGGCAAATTAATGTCTCTGCTTTTTAATATGCTGTCTAGATTGGTCATAACTTTCCTTCCAAGGAGTAAGCATCTTTTAATTTCATGGCTGCAATCACCATCTGCAGTGATTTTGGAGCCCAGAAAAATAAAGTCTGACACTGTTTCCCCATCTTTTTGCCATGAAGTGATGGGACTGGATGCCGAGATTTTAGTTTTCTGAATGCTGAGCTTTAAGCCAACTTTTTCAGTCTCCTCTTTCACTTTCATCAAGAGGCTCTTTAGTTCTTCTTCACTTTCTGCCATAAGGGTGGTGTCTTCTGCATACCTGAGGTTATTGATAATTCTCCTGGCAATGTTGATTCCAGCTTGTGTTTCATCCAGCCCAGCATTTCTCATAATGTACTCTGCATATAAGTTAAATAAGCAGGGTGACCGTATACAGCCTTGACATACTCCTTTTCCTATTTGGAACCAGTCTGTTGTTCCACGTCCAGTTTGAACTGTTGCTTCCTGACCTGCGTACAGGTTTCTCAAGAGGCAGGTCCAATGGTCTAGTCGTTCCCATCTCTCAGAATTTTCCACAGTTTATTGTGATCCACACAGTCAAAGGCTTGAGTGGGTAGTATTCCAGAAACTGCCCTAAGTATATCGGTAAACAGCACATCAAAATTCTTGCCCTCTTGGAGATTTTTTATAAACAAAGATGAATATGGATCACATGTGGGATAGGTTAGACAGTGATAGCTCACTGAGCTACTGAGCAGGAGTTTGGTGGGGGGTGGGGGTTAGGACATCAGGGAAAGGAGAATATGAAGTTGGAGGGTTGGGGTTAAATTTTAAAGAGTCTTGAGGGAACGCCTCACTTGAGAAGAAAATGTCTAAATAATGCTTTGAAGGAAATGAGCACCATGATAGTGTTTTTCTTATATCGCTGTGGTTCGTTGGTCAACAAACTCCTGATTACTTGGATTTTGCTAAGTGTGAGGTCACTCAAGAAATATTTTAAGAAATGAACAGATTCTGGGGACCGGAAGGAGATGAAACTGCCGCATCCGACTGGAGCGCCCACAAGACGAGCGTGGTGAGAGATCGCGTGGCTGTTACAGCTGCGTGTTGCTGGAATGCGTGGCTCGTGCGCAGAGGTCGGAGGTGGCTGAAAGCCTGACGTCGGTGTAGAAGCTGAGACCGCGGACGATGGTGGGAAGATCTGGGCGGTGCGCGCGCGGAGCGGCCGAGTGGGCAGCTGTCCGAGCTTAGGCCCAGCAGACGAAAATGGAGAGGACTTAGAGTCTCCACCCTCACCGGGGGACTCGGCCTACCACCGAGATAAGGTAGATGATTTCCATGAGGCCCGATCTCGGGCCGCCTTGGCTAAGGGCTGGAGCGAAATAGAGAGTGGGGACGAGGAGGATGGCGATGAGAAGGAGGAGGTGCTTGCCCTAGATGTTGCCGATGAGGACGATGAAGATGGAGAAAGTGAGGAGGGTGACAATGATGATGGTGGGAGCTCCGTGCAGAGTGAGGCTGAGGCTTCTGTGGGTCCCAGTTTGTCGTGGGGTCAGAGAAGAAACTTCACCACGACACGGAGTATGTCTCCAAGTCCCGAGGCCGGCAGAGTCAACAAGGGTGGAGAAAGAGGAAAGAGAGGAGGAGGCACAGCTCATTCCGCGGCGCTTAGCCCAAGCCCTGCAGGAGGACGATTTTGGAGTTACCTGGGTGGAAGCTTTTGCAAAACCAGTACCTCAGGTAAATGAGGCTGAGACACGTGTTGTGAAGGATTTGGCGAAAGTTTCCGTGAAAGAGAAGCTGAAAATGCTGCGAAAGAAATCTCCAGAGCTCTTGGAGCTGATAGGCGACTTGAAAGTTAAGTTGATAGAGATGAAGGATGAGCTAGAGCCATTGATACAGTTAGTGGAGCAGAAGATCATCCCCCCGGAAAAGGAAGCCAATACCTAAGGACCAAATACAATCTCTATTTGAATTACTCCTCAAACATTAGTTTTTATCTGATCCTGAAAGCTAGGAGAGTCCCAGCGCATGGACATCCTGTCATTGAAAGGCTTGTTACCTACCGAAATTTGATCAACAAGTTGCCGGTTGTGGATCAGAAGCTGTCCTCTGAAGTTCGTCATCTGCTCACACTTAAAGGTGGTGCTGGAAAGAAAGAACTGAATTTAAAAGCAAAATCCATGGAAGCCAAGCCAAAATCAGTTTCAGAGACTTCTGCTTGCTGCCTTGGCTGTTACAGACCTTTCTGATGATTCTGATTTTGATGAAGAAGCTGCACTGAAATACAATAAAGAAATGGAAGAGAGACAAAAATTAAAGAGGAAGAAAGAAGAAAATAGTACCAAAGAACAGGCTCTTGAACATCAAAATGCAAAGAGAGCCATTACTTATCAGATTGCTAAAAATAGGGGACTTACACCTAGGAGAAAGAAGATTGGTCGGCATCCCAGAGGGAAACACCGGGAGAAGTTCAGAAAAGCCAAAATTCGCAGAAGAGGCCAGGTTCGTGAAATTCGTAGGGAAGAGCAACATTGTACTGGTGAACTTTCTGGCATTTGTGCAGGAGTTAAAAAGAGCATTAAGCTTAAGTAAAGTTTTTGCTTAGCTTAAGTCTTTTGGCAATAATTTTGGATCAATAAATTTATTTTTAACTGGTTAAAAAAAGAAATTAACAATAATATATATTCCCCTTTTCAGTTGGTGCATGGTACAGGAAGGATTATAACCATTTAATCGAATGCCTCTTGTTTACTAATGAACTAAAATATGCAATAAGTATCATCTTCTGAGTCTACTTTTTCTAGTTTTTCTGTCAAATGTTTTTTAACTTAATTTGGACATTGTAACATTTTATTTCAGAACAACTTTTTAAAAGACTCAAAGGGTTTCTAAGGAGTTGAAGATGTGTCCATTTGGTAGACAATATGATGTGTGTATGACAAATTTTGCCCGTAGTTCATAGTGTCAAATACTCTGTTACACAAAGGTAACATAGCTGATGATGAATTTGGATTAATAATATCTATTTTAAATATACAGCATGGTTTGAATATATTAAGTACCCATTACTAAAGAATTAAATATGAGGGAGATATATTTTTTAACATCTATTTGATTTATTTGAAATGCATTCTCTTTCTGAACTTCTACAGTGAAACAATTTGTACTTAATGGAAATTCCAAAAGACTAAACAAATGAAACCATGTTAGTTGGCTTACTTTAATTAAGTGGCAATGATAAGATTAGGAATTACTGTAATTGTGTTTTGTTTATATGTGTATACTTGCTTCTTTTCTATTTTTAACAGTTCCTTAAAACATGAAATGCAATTTTTTTCCCACATGGTTAAATTTCTGTCATTCCAGTACATGGTCTGTGTACCTGTTTTGGGTAAGTGACTGACGTCTAAAGTTGATAACCTGTCAACTTAATAGTCTGTTGAAACTGAGTATCCTATTAGAGAAAGAACTGAATTATAGAAATAAACAAAAAATTTATTTAAAAATTTTAATAACAATTTTTAATTTAATAGTAAAATTTTCAAAGAACAACAATGGAACTTTAACTGTTGTCACTAGAGTAACTGGGTATCCACATTAAAAAAAGGAATAAAATGTTTTATTCATTTTTTAAATGAATCCCTATCTCATGCTACACACAAAAATTAATTTAAGAGGGACCATAGTTTTCACCGTAAAAGATATAACCATAAAGTTTTTAAAGGAAATAAGAGAATATTAGATTATTTTAGAAGTAGAGGTTTCTTAGGACACAGTTTTAATCAGCAAGTTTAATGGTAAAATTTCATAGAGATTAAGTTTCTGCTCATTAAAAAAATGTGTTAAGAAAATAGACATGTCATAGTTTGGTAAAATATTTGCAAAACGTTAGACAAAGGACTCACGTTCAAGATAAATGAACTACTAACAAAAAAAGAATGTGCAAGAAATATAGATAACTTCACAGTTAAACAAAAAGCACATGAAAAAGTACTTAATCTGTAGAAATTTTTATATGATCCCTTGTTATAGTTTCTTAGATTTATTGCACTGAGTTCAATTGAGCTTCTTAGATCACTAGGTTTTCATCTCAGGCCAAGTTAAAAATTGACTTAATTTTTCCATCCTGAGGAAAGAAGTAGGAATGCAGTTGCATTGCATTGTTGGATTTTACAATAATTTTTTTGATAGCTCTTTCTGCAGAAAAAAGTGTTGAAAGAAAAATATGGTAGATCTTTAAAAGTTACCTGGCTCAACCACAAAAGGCTTTTCAGTTACATGGTCAAATATATGCAGTAAATTTTATAAGTTTTCTTTGCCTTTTAAAGTATTGATTCTGCTTGAGAATATTAAAGTTCTTGGCAGAAGTAGTAAATTTCAGTTTTAGCATTTTAATGGAAGATGACTCTGGTCTTGTCACTTTATTTGAGAATTTGGAAGTATCATTTTTGTACTTAACTGGCTTGCAAAACAAAAAATTTTTAATCTGTTATTTAAATCATTGAATTTATCACAACTCATTGCTTACCTGTTTTTTTCTAGTTTTGTTTTTCCTCCTCTGTTTCATTTTGGATAGTTTTTATTGGTATGTCTTGAAGTTCACTTTTTTTTCCCTCCCTGCAGTGTCTAATCTGGTATTTAACTCACCCAGTGTATTTTTTATCTCAGATTCAGACTTTTTTTAATCTCTACAGATTCAATTTGAATCTTTATTTTCTCCATGTCTCCCTTTAACATGTTCATATTTACTTTCTTGAACATATAAAATATATTTATAACTGTTGATTCAGTGTCTTTGTCTACTAATGTTATCTTCTGTGTCACTCTGGAACTTGTATCTATTGATTGGTTTTTCTTGTCATTGGGGTTCATATATTCTTGCTTGTTTGCATCCTGAAAATCTTGGGCTGGAAGCCAGACACTGAATTTTGTCTTGTTGGGTGCTGGATATTTTTATATTCCTTTAAATATTTCTGAGCTTTGTTCTGGAATGTAGCCAAGATCTTGGAAACCTAGGAGATTGTTTGATTCTTTTGAGACTTACTTTTAAAATGAGAGCACCCTTTAAGTTAGTGATAATTTTTACCCGTTACTGAGGAAGTACTCTGCCGAGTGCTGTACCAATGCCCCACGTGTTACAAAGCTTTTTCACTTTGGTCTGATGGAAACAGGAACTACTTCTACCTCTCTTAGAGTCCTAAGGATTTTTCTGCCTGTTCCTTTCTGGTGATTATTCTGCCAGCATTGAGTGATTTCCTCAGATGAATCTATTGATCAGCACTCAGGTGAAGATGAGAAAGGACTCTGCCAGGCTCTAGAGCTCGCTCTCTTTGCAGCTCTCCTCTCTGATATTCTGATACTCTTCTACAATTTCTGGCTGCCTCCTCACCGTTGCGGTCTTCCTCTCTAAAATCTCTAATACTAGTCTAATCATGAGAATAACATCATAGAAATCCCAAGTGAGAGTTCTACAAAATACCTAGTCAGTATGTCTCAGAACTGTCAAGAATACCAAAACCAGGGAAATTATGAGAAACTTAGAACCAAGCAAAAACTAAAGAGACATAACAAATGAAATGTGGTATCCTAGTTGGGGTCCTGCTGCTGCTACTGCTGCTGCCAAGTCACTTCAGTCGTGTCCGACTCTGTGCGGCCCCATAGACGGCAGCCCACCAGGCTCCCCGTCCCTGGGATTCTCCAGGCAAGAACACTGGAGTGGGTTGCCGTTTCCTTCTCCTATGCATGAAAGTGAAAAGGGAAAGTGAAGTCGCTCAGTCATGTCCGATTCTTAGCGACCCCATGGACTGCAGCCTACCAGGCTCCTCCGTGCATGGGATTTTCCAGGCAAGAGTACTGGAGTGGGGTGTCATTGCCTTCTCCGGGTTGGGATCCTGGAAAAGAAAAATGGCAGTTGGTAAAAACTAATAAAATCTGAACAAAGTCTTGACTTTACTAGGTAATTACAGTGTACAGTATTGGCTTATTAGTTGTGATAAATCTACCATACTAATGTAAGATGTTAATAGTAGGAGCAACTGGGTTTAGTGTATATAGGGCTCTGTGTATCATCTTTGAAATTTTTCTGTAATCTAAAATTGCTCTAAAATGTAAATGTTTGTTTAAAAATAACATAAATATTGGACTCCAGAAATGCCAAGTAAGATCAGAGCTCCCAGTTAGGTTTCAGAATGTAACTGACGATGCAGTATGTTTTTCATGAAGCAGAATTGGTAAAATTTAAAGAACTTTTATTTATTTTAAGATTGTTTCTTGAGTTTGTGATGTTAAAATATCTTTTGCTTTGAAATGATGCTGATAGTGGATTTGGTCTACTTACTATACTACCACAATAAAAAGTTTATTAGTCCCCAAGTCTGAGAGTCATAAACTTCATCAATTCATTTCCTGAAAACTGTTCCAGAAGTTTGCTCCTCCTCCTGTATAGAGCCATAATACTCTCATTTTATGGTGTTTCTCTTAAACATCTATCTCTACATACTTCTAAGAGTCTAGATAGGTTTCTGACATTTTCTAGCACTCTTGAGCAAAGGAGATATTTAAAAGCAGAAGAACCAAATAAAAGCCGAGTGCCCACAATCTCAGCTGTTCTCTAGCTGTAAAAGGAAATACTGGAATCTTCCAAAGTTCAGAATCCAAGAACATCATTATCAACTCCCTCTCAGTGAGGTAGGAAATGAAGACTCTGGAGAGTACGTCATCTGGAGGCAATGGATTCAGAAGGTGAGTGGTAGAAATCTCCCCATAATGAAACCCCAGAAGGGTTCATCATAGGTTTTTAATCTGGGTTTTAGGGTGGAATGACCTGGTTTGTTTATTTTTTTTTCTTCCTAGATTACATGAGCTGAAAGTTCCACTGACTAATCCTTTGAGTTTATCTGAAAATAATTTAAGCCTCCTTATGTGGCAGTAGGGAGTTAAACAAGGGA